CAACATAGATTGACCAACATATATTTTCTATACTTCAACACTTACATCACTAAAGCTATGAAGAGTAAGCAAACCCTAGTGGTTATCAACTTGAAATATCAACTCAAGTTTTGTTTTAAATCTAACTATGCGCTATATGGACAAAAGTCTTGGGCCATACCTCTTAATCTTAGCATTCAGGTGTTTTTAGTCCCTGTGCCACAGGTGTTTAAATCAACCACACAGCAATGCAGTCTGCCTGTATAAGCATTTGTGAAAGAATGGCTCATTTTAAAATGTTCACTGAATCGAGTTTGGCTGTAATAAGATGCCACTGCTGCAACAAGTCAGTTCAAGGAAGATTTTCCCTCCTAGATATTCCACAAACAACTGTAAATGGTATTATTACAAAGTGAAAGTGTTTAGGAACCAATGCAAATTAGCCACAAAATGGCAAACGACATAAAGTTTAGAGCAGGATCGCCAAGTACTGAGGCGTACAGTGTGTCTCCAGTGCTCTGCTGTCCATGGACAGTATAAAATAAATACAAGCTAATGTGGAAGTGCATTAAACATTCATTCTATTTCTCGGCCACTTGACGGCAATAACTGTGGCTGCAAAAAGACAGCTGGACCTATAGAAGTCATTGTGAAATTAGCTTTCTGTCAAGACCCATGTAGAAACTTTCATGTGGAGTTTGAAGGGTCAGTCACTCATTTTGGACGGAAGTTTTATTTGCTCTAACCATGGTTCAGAGATTAAGGATTACGAAACGGCATGCTCATTGGCTAACAAAATGTAAATCACAAGTCATTAGCCAGTAAGTGTATGGTTCAACTGTGAGACCCTCCCTTTTTCTTGACCACGATTACAGAAGTGTTTATCTCAAGACTTCAAAAAGAGGATATCAGACATCAACAGGTGACATCACGGTAGCTATATTCAATTTTTATACTATGTCTATGCAGCTCGATCAATAACTATTCAATTCAGTTCCTCCGCTGCTTAGCCATAGGCCACGGCTTTGTAGCTGTAATAAGTAGATGGTCCGTTACATTTGTCTATATGAGTGCATTCCTTACATTTCCTACAAAAAAAGCTATTTTCATTCTAAATGAATAAATGCAAAATGTATCACTGAGGATGGATACAACTGACTATTGTCTGTCAATTAAAGTATTACATTGCCTAGATGCATTCTTATTGTGTGTAAGAAATGGCAGGGCCTTATTTACCCCTGCCATTTCTGTCAAGATAAAGGGTCCTATAACTAAAAAAACTTAAAAAAAAAAAAAACCCTGAAAACCGGTGAAAGGCTTACTAAATTCTAATATCAAGGCAAGATACACAAGGCTTTACACTTTTGTTTATGAACTGCTTGAAGCCAGCAGGAAAAAAAAATACAAAATATGTTCCTGCTGAGAACCTATGACTCCCTTTGACTGTGGTTATATCCTTGTTTTTTTTTTACATTTCATTCTGAGTGAAATCATTCCAATTAAAAATGTTGTGTCAGCTCTTTTCACAGAATATAGCTTTAATAAGCTCTGGTGTTTACATGCACTGATGCAGAACAGTGTGACATGTATAAAAGTGATGAATATGTTAAGCATCTTTTCTCTTTCACGTGTGTTTGATCAGCTCCCTGAAAATGGATATGTATCACTTGTTCAGCACAGCAGTTGCCATTATTGCATTGCTCTTAGCTCTTTAATTATTTACGAGTTTGAATTCAAAGGAAACTCTGCAATGAAGAAGTTCAGCTTGGAAGCTGCTATTTTTGGGACGTGGAGAAGCAGATGTCCCCACACATTTACAACATGATCTGTCCTGTGCAGAAGGAATGCAGCCAGAAAGTAATCACGATCAGTCATTGACACTGGGCATTTTTTTTTCATTCATATATATATTCGTGTGTATGTATGTGTGTATATATATATATATATGTTATCAGAACATAGATGTCCAAGAGATTTTCCTGGGATGATAATGTTTCTTTCCAGCAGAGTTTATTGGTCAGTAGATAATGGTTTTCATGTGCATTAACCTGCTGTGTTGAATGTAATATACTCTAGAGCGAGTTACGTGTTTGGCATAAGTTAACATTATGCTCCAACAAGTAAATTACCATTACTGTAGTCCTAAAACTCCACAGTTAAACATCCAAACCTCAAAACTTACTTAGGGTTAGCAAGATTGTGCCTCCAACAGACTCATGTAATTATGCATATGACCTTGTTTTACAACATGCCCTATTCTGTAAGAGTGGTTGTAAAGAAACATTGTATAACAGTTGAAATACCAGAAAAAAATGGCTGTGTACAAGATAACATCTGTAGCAAGAGTTTACTAGAGCTTATATTCATAGATGGGTACCGCAGAGAAAAATCTTGGAATTTTATCTGTCATTTTTGCATGATATACCAAAAAAAGCTAGTGCTACCAGTATTTCCAAACTAAACTAGAGACATGCATTCTGTGTCCTGATCCTGGCATTTTTTTATGTATTTTAATTTCACAAAATTGCATGAAAAAATATCAAAATGCATAGACATCTGTAAATGTAAAATGTACCTGTGCAATGCCATGATATGACATAGGTAGTTAACAAAAACAAGAAAAACACAAACACAATCCCAATTCATTCTAAAGACACTTTAACAACATTTGTAGGATATGTGTAGAAAACCATAAAGCTCTGTTATCTTGTATTTATACCAGCCCTCGGCAGAAAAACACATGGTCAGAAAGTAAGCCCAGGCATTTCATTATGTACTTATAGGATGTCGTCAGACTGATATATTCCTTACAGATCTTCTATCATAGCTGTCAAAATACAGAGCAGGTGTTAGTGAGACAGGCCCAAATTTATGAATTCCATTTTGTGAGATTACTGGTCTCATTCAACTACAGCAATGTCAAACTGTTGCAAACATTAGTATGTGATCATAATTTCACTTCCATTAAGTGCGCATTAGCCAGAGCATTACCGGCAGGGAAGAGAGAGGCAATATAATACATCATTTAGTGTTTAGAAACAAACAAACTTTGCCTGAATTAATGTTTAAATCAATGACAAAAGGGTGACTCAACTCATGATTAAAGCATATATCTATTCACTTTGACCATCGAAACAAGTCAAAATCACACCCTTCTCGATGAAGCCTATCCATCGACGTAAAATATTTCTTGCGTGTTTATTTGTGTCATTTTGAGGTGAATGTTCAAAATGAAATGCCCCTTCAGGAATTATTTAGCCCAGGGGCCCTAAAACACACAAGTGCATTTATTATTATTTATGTGAGCATGTCATCCTCCTGTCTAATGAGCCTTTCACCGTAAGCATAATGAAACAGCTTGCATTAGCACAGGATAAATGAACAGCCTGAGAGCTCCCATGTCTACGCAGTGAGATGAAAGCAGATGTTCCACAACCCAAACACCAGTGTAACAGACTTAGATCTACAGAGGAACAGAAGGGATTTTGAGTCAGTGTCATTCTCATCAGCTCATTGACTCCATTAGAAAATTCCCCTGGTCAAACATCATTATGTGAAAACAACGCCTAACTGAGCCATGACCAACTGACCATGAATGAACTCCTAAATTGATTTTTTTTCTCCTAGAAACACATTAGTGATAAACAGGTTCTTCACTGGCAAATAAACCTGGAGTCAAAGTGAATGTCAACTACCACACATGAAAGGTTGTGTAAATAATTCTCACATAACCGAGAACTGGTTGTAGTGGAAACAAAGAGTGTTTCAAGAAATCAAGCTTTTATGGTACTATTAGTCAAGTAGATGGAAGGACAATAAAAGAAAGCAGTTGCTACAGCAATTCATGGTTTCATTTTATTGGTTTTATGTTTTGACTCATAAAATCAAAATATAAATTGACATATATTTAAATATTTGTGGGATATCTTTATGTAATAAGCAGTATACGTACAAAAAAAACCAATCTCACCCTTTTTAAAAAAACCGGTAACGCATTTGTGTGCATGGGTGTGACTGTGTACAGAATTGTAACTACATATTTTCACAGTCAAAATGTAAATGTGAAAATTTCGTACAATTTATCAACGATGTATTGTTTATTTATGATAGGCTTTCTTTAATCTTTTTTTTCTCCAAAGTGATGTGTGTTTCAGCTTTATTGGCTGATAAAGGGAGACGAATGGAGCCCAAATTGGCTCTTTCAAAACAAATTAGCAAAATTGTAAAAATAAAAATAAAATGTTGTATAAGATGGATATAAATAGCTTAAAAATCTTAAAAATATATGATGATGATCCCCTGTCTAACCTTTAACCTCCTGTGTGACAGCACATCCACTGGTATATGGCAGACACCAGGTGAACAATGTATAACTCTTTGCTATTTTTAATACTATTGTGGGTTTTTAATGGGATTAAATATGTTTTCATTATAAACTCTATGATAAAGCCGGGGAAAGCTTCAAATAAAAACAGTAAAACCACGTCTCGTTTTTGTCTGATAAAAAGTCATAGAACTCACTTAACCCATGTAGTAGAGAAGGAGAAGAATTCAAATTGATTCTTTTAAAGGACAACATCATGTTTTAGACAAATGTCATAAATCATGTGTATTACTGGTACAGAAACCACTCTCTAAAGCTGCTCTATTCGATTTTTCCGACACTTTCAGCATGCCGTTGTCTCCAGTGTGTATTTATGAAAAATCGGTATAGAGAATAACAGTGCGATGTTTTTCCTTTTAGGCTCTGCTTTGTAGTTTTAGCGTAAGTAAGCTAATGTAGCTGAAAGTACAGATTGACAAGTGGAAAAGTTTTGCCGTGATGGCTGAAATTATGTTCCGTGAATGGGATTACATGTCATCTATACACGGTCATCTACATACTAGTCATTTCTACACGGAAAAATTAATTAACTAATGAAGCATGTACGCCTGCATATATATATATATATATATATATATATATATATATATGCGTGACCTTCTACAAACAACTGCACGTGATTGAAAAGGTAACTCACCTGTACCAGTCAAGCCCCTTTTCGTAGTTCCTATCAAAGAAATGTGGCTCATTTCCAACTGCTCTGACATCCGGGTGCACCCTGAGAGCCTCCAGCAGGGCTCTGGTTCCCCCTTTCTTCACCCCGATGATAATGGCTTGGGGAAGTTTCTTCTCTCCGTAATCCGAGGTGCAGTTCACCCTGAGTTCGCTGTCCGTGGTGCTGAATTCCTGGTGCTCCCTCTCCAGCGCAGTGGTATGATACGCCGCCGCCGATTTAGTTGGAGACGGCTGAGTCCTAATCCACTCCACTGTCCTTTGTTCGGCCTCGGCATGTTCTTTCGCGATGGATACCGGGGTTGTTCTCTCGGATTCGGTGAATTCAGAAAAGCCCTGGGAAGTGGAATAAAGTTTCTCTCTCAATGTCACAAAAGTTGTCTCCTCTGTCACCAGCCTCCCCTGATACACATAGGTCTCTTGCAGAGGGAACTGCAGCGAGTTGTAGCAGCTCATCAAGCTATAGAACAAGTAGGTGACAGACAGGGAGAGGGTGAACATGAATAAGATTTTCCGGGGCACTTTAGAGGTGAAAACCGAAGTGCTGGACCAAAATGCCATCTCTGATAGCAATGATCCTCTCAAAGAAGTGGTCAGACATGTTTCCACCCCGAGTCTTGCATGGACAAATTCAACAGCAATAATCAGTCACTATCAACGCTGCTCCAGCTAAAAAAGCGTGAAGCTGGACCAAACCACCCTAATCCAACCAAACCGCATATTTATAAGGATAGCTGGAACTAGACCGTAAAAATTCCGAAGGAAAAACAATGCGTCCCTTTTCTCGAGTATCGATTTCTAATTCCAAGGCTGACAGACAATGTCACAATTTATTGGACTGAACTTGCAGATATGAGAGGCTGGAGGTCTGGCGTCCTTCCAAATTAGCAGCCTGACTGGAACTGGGCAGCGTATGATGGACGAAATCCTGGTATTTTGTGAAGAGAAAAAGAAAAAAGGCAATGAAAACCAGAGTGTTTAAAGTACGCTTCTTCTCTTCAACCGCTCAACCCGAAGTCCAGTCCCGTCTCCCACAAAAGAGTAGATTCCCATCGGTGGAGGCAACCTACAAAGCCACTAAATCTTTCCAACATGAGGCAGTTTGGCGCGCAATCCTTTACGCGTCCCTTTATTTACTTTGCGTAGTAGAAACTCGGTTTCCTTTGTACCAAAGCATCCACACTTCCCACTGACTACAGGATGCTGCTCGCCGTCCTTACGCCTTCTCACATTGGTAGGATACTACGATGTGCGCATCGGCTGGGTGAGCTCATCTGAGCTGAGGCACTACAGAGCCACACAGCACAACTAGTGTGTACACCCACTTTTCCTCTGTCCGTGCACAAGTAGTGCTAGAAACGTCAGATTTCCTAATCTAAGGGAGTTGTGTGGGGGAAAAAAAGCTCATCTTTATTCCTTTATAGAACTACTCGTGGAGATATAAAACTCGACACTAGAATATGCGAGAGCTTATTGCAGTGTGATTTGCTCCATATAAAGTTCACTGTTAAATTCAATATCAGAGAGATTATTTTGATAGAGGTTATTTTTTACAGAAAGCTCATGTCTGCACCCTGCTGGTTTTTTGCGGCGCATTAATTTACAAAAGACGAGAGAATGTGTGTATGACGGAGAAAGAAACGGAAACAAAGTTTAACCTGATACATGAGGGGAAACGGATATTTAGCGTTTTTAAATTAACAACGCTGATGGTGAAGTCACATTTCTGAGTGAAAGAATCCAGGCAGAAAACAATCCCGCGTTTTGCATTGTGCTGAGGATGTTGCTTAGGCGTATTATTCACTGAATTTATTATACATGGGCTGCAGACTATAATTACTGATGAGAATATTCAGTAGACCTTAACTTGTACACTTTGTTGCCACAATATGAGGATCTAAAATTGCATGCCACCGAAATGTCTCCCTGTATTAGAGAATCTCATTCATCACACACCTCCAACACACCAGGAGAGCCATCGTCACAATAAGTACTGGGTCACAAACAATTTGCAATGCCTGCTTCTCAGAACAGCGCGCCCCTGCTATATTTAAAGATCTCTGCGTCGTAATAGGAAAAAATATTTCTATGTATATGTTGCTTGACCAGATTTGTCATTTCTAATGCTTGTAGCTGGCTGGGCATGCAAACCAGGGGTGATACCAAGTCATATTATAGTGTTGGTAAAGGATTGCAGTATAGCAAAGGAGCTCTTTAATATTCAGCCAGTGCATTTCCATTAAATAAGAATGAAAAACTGTGATAATGGGAGCTACTATTACACACAAAAATACATGTTACCATGACTAAGGCTTTTGCAGGTGCTGTATTAGTGTAAGGCTGTAATAATTTATACTTTTGTTACAAGGTGATGTTAATTGACATTTGGACAAACAATGTGATTATCAATACGAATAATAATCCCATTGTCATATTAATCAACCTACAAAGCCAAATCTGTAGCTCACCTTGGGTTTAAGAGTTGGTCATTTTGGTTGTTGTGAATGTTTGAGGTCTAAATATTTACTCCTGGTTAGAAAGATACACGTAGTGACTGGTTGACATATTGGGTCATGTATTTATTTCAGCAGTGAGTAGGAAGCAAAAACTCGGAAAGAGAAGAATGAATTTTGTATTGAACTTTGCATCCATAAGATGACCAAGCACATTGTCAGAAACATAGCGGTTATACTATTAACTCTTGGGTGTGTAACTAAGCAACAGTTTGCTATCAATATACAGTTATATGAAAAAATCGGAGTTACTCCTTGGAAAATAAACCTCACTTACACAATAGATAGTATCATGAGATTCAATGGGCTATAAGTTGCTGAAATACACACACACAGACACATAAATAAATGTATATGTATATATGTGTGTGTGTGTGTGTGTGTGTGTGTGTGTGTGTGTGTGTGTGTGTGTGTGTGTGTGTGTGTATGGGTTTTAGTAATTAAAAAACAAAAAAACAAGTAAACCCACAAAGCAAAACTACATGTAAGCAATGCAGGTGATTGGCTGAGTGGGAAGAAAGTATGAACAAGTGTTTAGAGCACAATGGTTACTAGGTGTTTGGCAGTCAAGAGAGTGTAGGAGAGCTCAATGGGTTTGTTGAAATTGTTGTATTCATAAATTGCCACTCAGAGAATCAGAGAGCTCTCAAACACGAACTGCACCGTTTGTGAATTCCCACTGTTATCAGACCATCTACCTGTCTAAGAGTCACTCTGTCAGAGATTTCTGGGCATGTTCAGAATCTCCATGAAGTAGTTGCAGCAGAATTTTTCTTTGTTAATAACAACACAAGTGAAATGGTATTCAAAAGGAAGCTTCGACTTGCCGCTGATGATAAATGATTATCACACGAGCACATGAGAAAATATATTAAGTCATTTTATCTTCCCTTTGTTGTGTCTGTTATCTGAGCCATTCATAAATTGCTCAGACATTGTCTATCCCTCTGGTAACTGAGTGTTCAGATTGTGTCTATTTGCATTTACAAATAAGTGGTTGTTCAAAAAAAAAATGTTTACTGACATTTACTTCTGATAGTCGAGCAAGCTGCAGACCTACTGGTTGTGTCAAAGGCCAAAATCAGAACTCAGATATTTTCCTAACCCATAGGCAGTAGGTCTTTTAGGAATTTATGCTACAGGTTTTACAGCATTGCTGTTACTCTAACAGACCTAACTCATTATTTCATTATGTAACTAGCACAAGAGTGCCACACAGTGAACCACCACATATTTAGTGTTCATCAGGGTAAGACTCTGAGCCAAATGAGCTATTACTCCTTGCAGCTCACATCAACACATGCCTCATGTGTAGATAGTATTTGGATATGAATTATCCATATTGGATCTTAAGAAAATAAATGTCATTTCAAAGGCTATGTACACATGGGACACATCTAGTCCATGATGTTTAAACATGCCATTATTATTAGTTAAAGACCAAAATATTTATTACAGGAATTAGATTAAAAATAAAGCAAAGCTAAAATGATTTAAATCGGTATAAAGGATGCAATGTGGTTTGTATATCTTGACAACAAATTGTTAAATCTAAAATGTAAAAAAATGACTTTTACACCAGCAACTAATGCCCAGTGCATTTTTTTCCATGGTGTACTGGGGATGCAGCCTAGTTAGCCAAGAGCCAGTTCCTGCAAGACACATCATTTCTATGGTGAATTAATATGACAACAGAGGCTCTTCTGTGTCTGATTGAGTATCTGAAGTTGCAATACACAGTCTTATGCTGAAACCCCAAAGACTGCAAAATAATTCTTGTGACAACACACACACGAAGCTTCTGTTCTGCCAGTGCAAACTACATCAGGCCTGTGGCACTTTCTCAATATAGTTACAGCTCAGGAGCTGCAGCTCCACCTTTGAGATTTGAGTCTACTAATATGAAATGACTTGATTCTGAACTCTGCCACAGTCTAAGCTTGTCTGGTGGAGCTGAGATGAACGGCTATTGTGGGAAGGTTTTGGCAGACTGTATATGCTCAAACTGTTACGGGGCTCAGTGCAATTAAAGTCAGAGTACTGTGGCCAGCAGAATCACACCCTGCTGTCCGCTGGGGTTCGTACCTGCAAAAATGGTTTATCAGGCTACATTTAGAAAGGAAATGACAAAATGGATTTAAGTGACCATCCTGATAGTGATAAAAGAAAGTAGAAAATACCATAAAAAGTGCAAACTTGCCTTTGGCCTACAAATCAGTAAATCAATATTTGTATGACCTTGTAATTTAATTCTCTCTCTTTCATGGAACCTTTGAATTAATCATAGACTGCAATGTCATGGTGCTGAAGCATAAGCATGTGCAATCTTGATACAGAAACTTTTGCAGCAATCTACCTTAAGTAGGACTGGTGCAGGTTCAGGAGAATCTCTTGCCTTGTTGTCTTCCTTTAATGAAGATAATAAAATTCATGAGGAAAATGCCCCCGAGTGATCCTTGAAGGCATTTTCCTCATGAATTTCATTGTGGAATCTCTCAGCAGGAAGATTGGAAATATAAAGATTTTGTATGTTCGCCCTAGAGTAGAAAGATTGTTTTAAGGCATGAATTTATTTTATTTTGTTTTTGTTATTACTTTTATTGTTCTTTTTATGTAGAACAACAATTTGAAGCACCAAAGAGTACTACGGGGGAAAAAAAAGATTTCCACATTTCCTTATTCAAAAATGACACACTTACAAATCACCTCTTCATTATGCCAGAAACATTAGATTGTCCTTCTTTATTTCTGGAGCCTAGTAAACACATTTGGACAAGTATCACTCAATCATATGTGGGAAAAAAAATTTGGTTATGGTAAGCAACCCAAACATAAAAATTGGTTAATGCATTTGTGTAGGCATGGTAACAATAACATGAGCCACATTAAAACACGTTGAGACTTAAACCTGTGGGCCTACATGTAAAACAGAATTTGGGATGCATAACCATGAAAATAATATTAAAATATATCCTTAGATATAACGTCTTGTACATTTTCATGAAAATTTGGGTTTGCTTAATTTAAAAAAAACAAAAAACAAAGTTGGAGTACGACATAAACTTTCTCTTTTTTTCTGGTGTTTATTGTGTGCACTTTTATGACCCATGAGCATAAAAATCTTCTTGTTTACTTATTTATGTATTGCATTTATGTCTCTTTATTTCTTCGTTTTTGTTTGTTGTTGTTATTAAATCTTTGGTTAATCAGTTATTGGCTATGTAACACATGCATGATACATTTCGGAATGGAGACAAATATAGAGAGTCATTAGTGACTGAATAGGACCAAATGGAGGCAGACTAGAGTCCTCTTTAGTGCTTTGATCCTATAACACCAAGCTATATCCCTGGATTATACAGTGAGCTTAATTTATCACCCTGTTCGAACGCAAAATCACAACCTGATCTCAAGGTCTGCACTATAAAACGGTGTCCCTTTTTCCATCCAGCATACCAAGGAATTTGGAAGCGCCTTAATTCAGTTTAGAAGGTCAAGTGTAAAAACTCTACTGATCGATTTTTAATGCAGTCACCTTAATAAGTGTGAAAGGCAATAAAGAGGAGCTGCTTTTTGTTTCCAGAACGGGTGGTTTCGAGGGGGAGGGTCATATCTGCATATCAAAGTTTAGACATTAAAATGAACATTTAAATGTAATGATTCATTATTATACAACATTTATATTTAACTTAATGAACGTACCAGAATAATCAAGGTATATTAAATTTTTTGGGACTAAAATCATTCATTGTCATGAGACTTGTGTATAGTTATGAGTGATGAGGTGCACTCACTGGACAGCTACACTTTCCCCCGTGCTTTTGTTGTAATTTTTGCAACACAATTGCTGAGCGTTTTGTCTTAGAACAG